TCGAAAAAGATGTAAATGTAAAAATGCAATATATGTGTCATATATTTATTCTCATCGATTCCCGATAAACTCAATAAGAGTCGTATGCAAGGTAAATAGAAAAGTTCGATGAACCGGCCGCGAAACCGCACGAAAGTCGCTAATTAATAATAAAAATAAATGAGAATTCGTGTTATAAAAAATGCGCTGACCGGAGATAGAAATAAATTGTACATACTTGTAATGAAACCCATGTCGAATGTGAGCACATCCACGCACAAGAAGCAAGGTAGAAGAAAAATCTTAGATCTGTACTGTATGATGGTTGAGATCTTAATGTCCAAAATTGGGTGAAGGCAATTCAGCTGATGATGGAAAAGAGAGGGGGGAGGGGAGAGACAGAAGAACAAGGAGTAGGAGTGGAAGGGAAGGTATGGTGAAATGAAGATGAAAAAATTAGTATAGGAAAGGGAAAGCAATACATTTATAAAGGAGGAAATAGATTTGCCGTAAATCTCATAACTTTTTTTCTCTAAGTTAGCGATTGAACTCCGTTTGCATCGATTATATCATTATATATTAAATCTTGATAGCAAAATGCAAGACTTATTCAGATTCAAAAGAAAATCGATAACATGATTCTTACGATCTATCCCTCGCTACCGATCAAATTTTGTTGAGCGTCGCGCAAATGTCATCCCGCCCTTAGCAAAGAGTTACTCACGAGAAAAAGTGATCATCTGATATACGTTATTCAAAGGATAACAAGATTCATTGAACGCGCGGTGAATGCCGCTTCCAAGCGGTCCGCGCGAACGATCTCATCGATCGTCGCGAACCAGCTAAGAATAGAGCATCGCGCACTCCGGATTCCCCCGATCGAGGGAGCGTCACGTCGCGTCGCGTCGCGACGCGCCGGCCGGCCGGCCGGCTGGCCGACCGGTCGCCGCCGACGTTGACTGCGATGCTGGAGCGTTACCGCCCACACGCGTAATATAGTGCGAACGCGAAGGTGCGTTGCGAGTGAAATGATTGTTATACATACCTGTGCTATTCGATGAAGTTGCTGAACGTGATGGTGATCGAACTGATAACGCCGCATTACATCTCTTAGACAAGTTGCAGAATTTTGATACTTCGTGCCAGTAGCTTTGTTCAAAATGATCTATCTTCAATGAATACAATGGATACTCCCTATTGGTATCCATATTCAATTATCCAATGATGAGTGAGTTCACTACACGAACGAAAATATATACACTCCACTTCACCGTCACTGACAGATCAAATACACGATGAGCTATGTATTGTACACTATTTACTATATTTATATCTTATTACTCGCGCGCGATAATCAATATATTTATGCGGCAATACGATACCGCGCGCGAACACGGATTTACAAAGGATTTACGCGCGTATAGCGTCTTTACAAGATATTATTACAATATATAGTGATTCTGATATATCGTCCGATTCAAGTCTTTCATACAACGAACAAAGACACAATTAAACAACAAATTAGTATTACTGTTCTCAGTGCTACTGCTATATCTGCCACTATCGTTCTGTGACAGACAAAGAAAGAATTTCATTCTTAGAATATATCCAGAATGAGATAGACAACTAGCCGTTTGGCTGTCACTTGAACTCGTAAACGGCGTGCGTATAGTATGAAACCGCTTGGACGACCGACTACTCGCACCAACCTCTATCTAACGACTACGCCAGGCTGCTGCTCTGCTGCGGAACTTTATAGCAGAGCGGAAGGCGCTTGCGCACGATCTCAGTTATTCGGACAGGGGCGTAGTATTCAGAGTAGCATGCATTGGTACGTTTCTCTTTGACATCCAGCTGTGAACTTGAAAAATCTAAAATCTGAGTGGTTAAATTTTCTTGTTTCCCTTTCTTTAGCTATTTTCTGTAAAATAGGTAGGAAAACACAGCTTTATAAGATAGGTGGGGCAGTAACTCTGTGAAATAGGTGGGGCTTCTCATATGTTGCTTCTCTTAAACCTACTTTTCTATGCCAGCCCCCACTTTTTTTCTTAACGTTCAAAATTTATATTAAAATTTATATTAATTATTTGTTAAATAATAATTATTAACTGGAATTAAATTTCTATATTGCTTATAAATTATACACATATGTATCTATATTCGAAACATAGTTTTTGATATATATGATGTGATTAATAACAAAAAATAAAATATTGAAAAAATTATGTCAATACTTACGTCAATTTATCTTTTATTGTTTTTTCTTGTATATTTAATAATATCATAATGCTTATACTTATAAATATATTACGAATATTTATAAAAATTTTTGTTCTGCAATTAGCATAAAATTCCAGGACACGCAGGACACAAGCGTATCGCAACAAGATAACAATTAATGACTTCGCTTAAGTAAATATGACTAAAATTTCTGTGAAAGAAAAAAAAAAGTATCGAGGCACATTATTGAGGTACTTTCAATATATCGGGTTTAATGATAAGGTAATGTAAATTTAATTGTACATTAGTATTTTAAAGTTTTTCTTTTAATCTTACTATCTCTTGTAATTAAAAATAAGTTCAATGATGTTATAAAGAGCAAAACAATTCTCTAATATTTTCTACATTTTTTTTATATTCCTATCATTAGAAGCCTCGAGATCTATCTTTATTAATTAAATTACTTTCGTGCAACAATACTCTTTATTATTACAAATTCCTTTCCAACATATCGTGCAACAATACTCTTATTAATTTATTACAAATTCCTTTCCAACATATTGATATTTATTATGTCATCACTATCACTATGTCAACAATTCTAGTGTTTACTTACGTCATCGCGAAACTGACTGAAAAAGCTGTTTTGCCTCCTGTTATGATGTTTAGCATCATTAAAGTATCTTGCTAGTGTGTCATTCTTCTGTCGAAATGTCTTTTTTATTTGTTTTACGTAATTCCGTTTGTATGAAATATATCTTATTTTTATATTCTATAACATAAAAGCTGCAATAATAATTTATTGTCTTTTTTCGCATGTGCGCTGCATATGAGATAAAATTAGAACGAGATAATCCCTTTCTACGAGAAATTTATTTAAAGCTATTAATATTAATGAGTTAACAAAATGAATAAAGGGGTCGGAATCTCTAATCGCTCTTGTTCTTTGAAAATGCGACATTGCATTCGCATCGGCGCGTATAGTATTAAGCTTATTGTTTCCGACAGCGAAAGAGTGAGGCATCGAGGGATATGTGTCGAAGAATCCGCACACTCGTGACAAGCAGGTAGTCACTCTTTTGTATAGTGTGGTAGGACACGTTATGGTTTCATATTAATACGTACGTACAATGTTGCACGTAAAGCTGGTCATGGGAGAACACAACGGAGGCCGCATGCGGGGCGCGGATTGCGGTCGGCAACCTGTCGGAAACTTGTACCGTGCGGATTTAATACCGTTGCCGAGCGCATCTAGAGTTGCGGCTTGTCCTATCTCATCTCTCTCTCTCTCTCTCTCTCTCTCTCCCTCTCTCCAATAATGCGTAACATTTCGCGACATTTATCTCGCAGTTTGGGTCGATGCACCTTGAGCAATAAAAATCCAAAAAATTCTATCGTCTGAAAATATTTAAGAAATTGTCGCAATATAAGAGAAAGTGTTTTTACGATATACCATATAACATTTCTCGCATTCATTGGAATCCCTCATTTATCATAGTTACAAGCTTCGACAAAAAGTTGACCAGCGTTTGCTCAAACAACAGGTATTGTAGGTATAAAAGAAATATAAAAGAATAACTTTGAACAACGAGAAATATCAAAGATGTTCCTTCCGAACTCTTTACCTGCTATTTACCTGTTTTACCTGCTTTACCTGCTAGCCGGTAGGACTTTACCTGATTTTAGATCATTAATTTTTGTCAAAACTGATGCCTAATAGTAACCACCGATATATATATATATATATATATGTGTATGTATGAGTGAGTGAGTGTGTAAACTTTCTACGAGAAATTTCTATTGAGACAAAAATTTTTTGTACATTATTGAAAATAAAAAATGATGTGTGCTTGTATTCTAACTTTACACAAAAAAATGTTGATTAAAAAATGAAAAATATTTGCACATAAAAATAGTTATATTGTTAATTACCTTCGAGAATTATAATATTTAATCTATTTCGCTCTTGTCCCTTCGTTCATCTTTGACTTATTCCGTTAGTTTATACTGCTTTATTTATTCTTGCTCTAATTTCTTTTATAATTAATTTATAAACGTAGACGTGTGTGTTTATGTTTGCACTTAAAAAATTGAAGTAATTTCTACTTGATATAATGTGTAATTTTATGACAGAATCCTATCCTTGATTCACTTCTAAAAATCCTTTTATCTTCACTCACTAATTGCTCAAAAATAATAAGTATTCTTCATTAAGAAAAAATCTTTTCTTCGTGAAACGTTTTCTTTTACACTTCTTATGTACATTCCAAAAACGTAAAATACTGACTAGGTCCTGCATGTTCTTTATATAAATGTTTTAACATTTTTTAACTTCTTATAAATAACATTGAACAACGATAAAAAAAAATAAAATTAAATAATAATTCCTACGTACATCCTATATGTATCGTAACAGTATTGCATTTATTTATCTTCTACCGCATTGCGAATATGATAATACGAACGAGCATGTTGTTCGATTATGAATCTACGCGTTACATTTCCGGCCTTTTAAGCGCAACCTAATAACGACTTCCTTTCATTGCGCGATGCATTTACGAAAGAATTGCAATTGAGCATATGTGCTCGATGATATGCTTCTATTTACGTTCCATGGACACCAATAAAATAGTTATTGATATTTTGATATATAAATGCTTCGAATAAACAGTACAGGTCCACATATAAATCTAAATTTGAATGACAGTCTTTTTGATAAATTTTAACAGGTGATTTATATCTATAAAAAGTTTCGAAAAATATTATGCAACTCGTTATGTAGCTTCTTAACATTCAACTTGAAATACTTCGGAAATGTCTAAATCTCGAAAGAATAATCACTTGAAGCAAAAACTCGTTAAGAAACAAAAATCAATTTCGAAATGTAGAATTTCGAGATACGGAACAGTTGTAAGTGAAAATACGTGAGATTTTCCATTTTCTGCGGACATACAGAAAACTCCTACGCTTCCCCCTTTTAAGGTACAAAGTTACGTAAATGTGCAATCGATTAGAAATTTTCCGAAGTGGAACGAATCGCGCGTCACGTGGATGTGAGAGCAACAAAGCATCCACGAGGATAACTCTACTGATAGAAAGCCCGCGATTCTGGGTCGGTGGAGCGTCGTGGGTGTAATCCCGCCGTTTATTATTATCGTCGTGTTGCGTGCGCGCAATGCACCTCGTCCCGAAACGATGAATTTAGCTTGTCATTTTTCCGCCACGCGCATCGCGACGTGACGTTCCAACGACAACCTCTTCTCGCAGCTCGTGCACGAGCCCTTGACACACAATGTTGTGCAATTCGTAGCGGCGCGGAAAGAACGAACGTCGATAGCGTCGCGTTACATCACGTCCAAGGGCCGCTCGTTGGCTATGCATACACGTGGATTCTCGCGAATCCTCGCCGCGCCGGCGGAAACGGAAGAAATTAATCAGCGACGTCATTAGAAACATTACGGAGTATTAACATGTTAATTGGAGGCCGAAATATAAAATTGTCAATTTTGTCTCTAAGTCGAAGCACTACAAGAAACGCATTTCCATGTTCTATTCTAAGAATGTCAAGTAATATGTAAACATTTCATTCATGATAGATGATATGCAGAATCCTCTAATTTATGCTTTTGATCTTATTGATCTTACGATCTTTAGTAATTATTCCAATGGATGCAAATGCATCAGTTGCATCCATTTATACTCGTGATTTTCTCAGTCAAGTCTTTAATGTGTATTAGAACTGCATTTAGAATTTTTTTATTTTTTTTTATTTTATTTTATTTTATTATTTATTTTATTATTTATTATTTATTTATTATTTTATTATTTATTATTTTATTTTATTTTATTTTTTTCTTTATTTATACATTTCACAATTTAAATGAATTAGTATTTTTCAGTTTTAAGAATCAGCACTGTTATATTTTCTTGAATGTTTTATAAGCAATTTATCACTGAGATGTTAACGTATAAAATTTAATTTATTAATTATTATAAATACAGTTTCTTTAATACTAAATTACCTTCGTCTTCAAGTATAGCATTGAATGCTATACTTTGTATTTATAATTTAATATTTTTGCTTTTAATTAAACTTTATATTTATTGATCGACTTTTTAAACAACCAACAAATTATTTGGATAGCTTTGGATTTTTTAACCGACAGTTATAATCGCGAATATTCAGGTTCTATGCGTTTGACTTGGAAATATCTTACTGGAAGAAATTTACAAAGCCTACTATAGTATACTATCAGGGTACCATAATAATTCGCGACGCTCCTGAAGATGGGCGCGTGAAGTATTACGCCCGACAGAACTGTCCCATAATGTTGCATATTTTACAACAATTACAGCATATCTGCGCGAAAAACTTGTCGAATGTCGTTCCACTATTTTAATCGAAGACTCCTGACAAAGCTCATAATCTGTCGCATCGTACTTCGAGAGATATCTCGTGTTCAACGATCATATGACGGGACTATTTTATCCGGCGTATGCGGGAGATACGCGGCCTGCCGAGCGATAACTCCAAGACGCTCGCGGACAGATCAAACGAACGGCATTTCTTTTGAATCGCCAATAGCGACGGTTCAAGTTTCTCCTTTGTTGATACCGGCATTTTATTTTTGTAGAAAGACACCGAAATGTTTGTTGAGTTTTTGCGATTAATCAAAGAGATAAATATAATACATTTCCTATATTTGACACATATATAACATCCTGTTCCTCCGTAATGTATGTAGATATCTTTTATTAAGTCACGTCAA